CTATAGTCTAGTCTATAGTCTAGTCTATAGTCTAGTCTATCTAGTCTATAGTCGTCTATAGTCTAGTCTATAGTCTAGTCTATAGTCTAGTCTATAGTCTAGTCTATAGTCTAGTCTATAGTCTAGTCTATAGTCTAGTCTATAGTCTAGTCTATAGTCTAGTCTATAGTCTAGTCTATAGTCTAGTCTATAGTCTAGTCTATAGTCTAGTCTATAGTCTAGTCTATAGTCTAGTCTATAGTCTAGTCTATAGTCTAGTCTATAGTCTAGTCTATAGTCTAGTCTATAGTCTATCTATAGTCTAGTCTATAGTCTAGTCTATAGTCTAGTCTATAGCTAGTCTATAGTCATCTATAGTCTAGTCTATAGTCTAGTCTATAGTCTAGTCTATAGTCTAGTCTATATGTCTAGTCTATAGTCTAGTCTATAGTCTAGTCATAGTCTAGTCTATAGTCTAGTCTATAGTCTAGTCTATAGTCTAGTCTTAGTCTAGTCTATAGTCTAGTCTATAGTCCTAGTCCTATAGTCTAGTCTATAGTCTAGTCTATAGTCTAGTCTATAGTCTAGTCTATAGTCTAGTCTATAGTCTAGTCTATAGTCTAGTCTATAGTCTAGTCTATAGTCTAGTCTATAGTCTAGTCTATAGTCTAGTCTATAGTCTAGTCTATAGTCTAGTCTATAGTCTAGTCTATAGTCTAGTCTATAGTCTAGTCTATAGTCTAGTCTATAGTCTAGTCTATAGTCTAGTCTATAGTCTAGTCTATAGTCTAGTCTATAGTCTAGTCTATAGTCTAGTCTATAGTCTAGTCTATAGTCTAGTCTATAGTCTAGTCTATAGTCTAGTTTATAGTCTAGTCTGTAGTCTAGTCTGTAGTCTAGTCTATAGTCTAGTCTATAGTCTTGTCTATAGTCTTGTCTATAGTCTAGTCTATAGTCTAGTCTATAGTCTAGTCTATAGTCTAGTCTATAGTCTAGTCTATAGTCTAGTCTATAGTCTAGTCTATAGTCTAGTCTATAGTCTAGTCTATAGTCTAGTCTATAGTCTAGTCTATAGTCTAGTCTATAGTCTAGTCTATAGTCTAGTCTATAGTCTAGTCTATAGTCTAGTCTATAGTCTAGTCTATAGTCTAGTCTATAGTCTAGTCTATAGTCTAGTCTATAGTCTAGTCTATAGTCTAGTCTATAGTCTAGTCTATAGTCTATCTAGTCGATCTAGTCTATAGTCTAGTCTATAGTCTAGTCTATAGTCTAGTCTATAGTCTAGTCTATAGTCTAGTCTATAGTCTAGTCTATAGTCTAGTCTATAGTCTAGTCTATAGTCTAGTCTATAGTCTAGTCTATAGTCTAGTCTATAGTCTAGTCTATAGTCTAGTCAGTCTAGTCTATAGTCTAGTCTAGTCTAGTCTATAGTCTAGTCTATAGTCTAGTCTATAGTCTAGTCTATAGTCTAGTCTATAGTCTAGTCTATAGTCTAGTCTATAGTCCTATAGTCTAGTCTATAGTCTAGTCTATAGTCTAGTCTATAGTCTAGTCTATATTCTAGTCTGTAGTTTGTCTATTGGCTAGTTTAGTCTATAGTCTAGTCTTTAGTCTAGTCTAGTCTATAGTATAGTCTATAGTATAGTCTAGTCTATAATCTAGTCTATAGTCTAGTCTATAGTCTAGTCTATAGTCTAGTCTATAGTCTAGTCTATAGTCTAATCTATAGTCTAGTCTAGTCTAGTCTATAGTCTAGTCTATAGTCTAGTCTATAGTCTAGTCTATAGTCTAGTCTATATTCTAGTCTGTAGTTTTGTCTATTGGCTAGTTTAGTCTATAGTCTAGTCTTTAGTCTAGTCTAGTCTATAGTATAGTCTATAGTTTAGTCTTTAGGCTAAATCTATAGTCTAGTCTATGTTATAGTCTAGTCTATGTTATAGTCTAGTCTATGTTATAGTCTAGTCTATGTTATAGTCTAGTCTATGTTATAGTCTAGTCTATAGTATAGTCTATAGCCTAGTCTATAATCAGTCTCTAGTCTAGTCTACATTTAGGTTTGTAGGCAGCTTTCTGCTGAAGTTCTTTCAGATTTCATGAAGTGATTGTGGTTGAAACCAACGCAGGAGAGAGAATCTTTGTTAAAAGAGCGATGGATAGTTTTCTTAATTCAGCATTTAAATTTAAGTTCCAAATATTTCATGTTCGCTATAAGGAAGATTGACTGTATTTTTCAAACATATAGCCAAGATTAGATTTCATTCAACATTTTACTAGTCCATTAATTTTATAGATAAACATAAAAAGTTCTAGTTTTAGTTAATGACTTTAAATTTATATGTTTTCTTCTTATTTTTTCTTTAGTCTTAAGTAATCTTTTTATAACTGCTATAATCTCAAAGCATCTTCAAACCACTTGAAAACATAAAAATTTTATCTGATTTAGAATTTGCACCCATTTGAAAAAAAAAACAAGTTTGAAATACGAGTTCAATAAAATTCGAATGTTCCAAATAAATTAATTAAATGTTAATTGTAGCGGTAATACAATTTTGAACCGGATTACAATGTTATATTATCTTATAACTGAAGCTTATTATACCCTACGTCACTTTAGTGGGGAGAGTATAAGGCGTTTGTACTAAAGTTTTTAACTTCCAACGATTTGAAAAAATAATTACTTTTTGAACATCTCTAATTTAAAGACCCTAATCTTCATATATTATAAAACTCCTTAATTCCTGGAGAATAGGTCCATAGTGATGACTTTCTTATAGCACTTTCTGTAAGGTACATATAGTCGGATATGACCGACTATTTTCTTACTTGTGGTTACAACCTGTTTAGGCAAAAAAATATTATAATTTATTGTAATGTTGGCACTTTGGTAGACTTTTAATTAATTTTATTTCTTTTAAGGATTTATTTTAAATTCTAATTAATTTCTTTTGTGTTTTTTTACTGCTGCCGATTTAACACAATTTATGGTTTTAATTGTTTACGTTCAAGTGCCGCTTGAGAATAAATAATAGATTAATTTACGATATCAAACAATTAAAAAAACATTTAAATAAAAATTGGAAACCTTTTGTATTATTTTAAGAGAAATTTGTTGAAATTTGACTAGACAGGAAACTGTTTTAAGACAATTTTTAATATCAATCTTTATAATGGAAATTTTCAATATTAATAATTTCTTTATATATCTTTATTTAATTTCAGATTAAACTATCTGCCATCTAAAGAAAAAAAAAACTCACATAAACACAAATCAAAATGCTGCAACTGCGACGAAAGAAGATAATTTCCCTGCCATTAGTCGCAATATTTTTCCTATTATGCACCATCAAATCCATAAACACAGAAGTCTATACCGCCTTGGCGGATATGGAAGAGCTATTAGAGACTGAATCTGTATTAATTAGTAATTTAGAGGGTTTTATTAAGGTAGAACAACAAAAGTTGGATTATTTAAAAACGTAAGTAAACTTTAATTTTTTAACTATTTTTTCCCTTAAAATTCAAACTAAACTTTTTTTTAAACAAATTATTAAATACATAATTAATTAAACTAATTAAAAATTACTAATGAAACCATTTGTCACATGTCATTTGCATATTGCATATTGTTTCAATTTCAAATTCGATAATAAATAAATTATGCAAATACTGCTACCGTGATGTATGGACCCCTCGTATATTGTGTTAAAAAAGCACTTAACATAATAATAGAAACGTTTTTTTTGTGTCAATTGAAATTATATTTTTATTAATATATCTTTAAGTTTAAATTATAATTGACTTGTTTTAAATATTTATTTATTTTTATTTAAAATTTAATGTTAATTTATTATTACTGCATACTTTTGAATAATGGAGGTGTTAATTATGATAAAAGTTTTAATTTATATGTTTTTAATCATCATCATAAATATTGCGAAAATGTGGAAGTGATACGGTACAGATAACATATTTCCCTTTATTTATTGTTATTGGCGACATCATTTATCGCGATATTTGTTAAATGCACTGAATATTAAATAGGGCATCTGCATAGTGTACTTTCTTCACATATGAAAACAAGAGAGAGAGAGAAACCACTTTGTCAATATCTGCTTTAAATCAATGTAAGACAAACATTGTCTCGGGGATCGAATAACCGCACGCTATTTAGCAAACACAGTCGAAAAAAACCTAGAAAAAATCTCTTTAGTTCGGGCGATTTTGCGAATCTTGAGGTTAGTGTGGGAAGCTTTCGGTATTTCCAACAGATTTGATTGTAACCCTTAATGACACCTTTAGATCATGGGAGAGGTTCGTTATATGTCTACGATGGGGCTGCAATAGTTCCAGACAGTAACTTTTGAAGTTTATATACCGATTATTTTTCGTCAAGAAGTTTCTGAAATCGTTGTTATTTGTTTTTCTTGGACCAACTCTCAAAGCATGACCCCTATGCGGAGCATTGTGTTGTAACTAAGACAATTGATTGTGGGAGGAAGGATAAGCGGGGTAGGGTTTGTGGACTTTTAATTTAAATACGTTTATATCAAATGTGATTGATCATACTTCAGCTGATAGTTTGTTCCACATACGAACAGGGAGGCTAAAAGAATGAATTTTCCCTTTAATGTGTTGTGCGGGGTCCATTGGGCAATCTACCACAAATGGTTGAGTTCTTGATAAGAGACGTGTGTTGCGTTTCAGAGGAACACATTGATTGTAATATCGATAGAACGGTGAAATACATCTCACTTAGCGGCGGAGATCTAGTAAATCAATAGAGTTAGATATCCTACTGTCACCAATAAGTACCTTCGCCTTATCTTGTATGCGATCGAATAGCTTCAAAATAGACTTCAAAGCTCCGTCCCAAACATGAGAGTTGCTTTCCATTTTCGTCGGTTATAAGAGTTGTAAATAGTGAGGAAATCAGATGGAGTGAAGTATGTCTTACACTGGAAAAATGTGTTTAGTCCCGCCAAGTCAAAATAGACTTCAAAGCTCCGTCCCAAAAATGAGAGTTGCTTTCCATTTTCGTTGGTTATAAGAGTTGTAAATAGTGAGGAGAACAGATGGAGTGAAGTATGTCTTACAATTGAAAAATGTGTTTAGTTCCGCCGCCTTCGCATTGTTTTTTCATACCCCGATCATAAAAAGTTTCTAATACCCCAATATTTACACCATCAATGAAAATAGATGGAACAACATGATCTGCCATAATTTTATCTTTTCGAAAAGAACAATGAGTCTTGCGGGCATTCAAATTGACCCTATTATCACGACCCTATTCAGATATTGTTATCAAGTCGAGTTCTTCAATTTTTACAAACTAACATGAATTCTTTCAAAAAGAGCATGATAAGAAACTTAATGGAGTTAAAGAAATATTTAGAAACGTGTGAGTACGTTCCCACATTAACTTAAAGTCCAAAATTACGACAAGTTATTTGAAATCTTAAAAAATGAAAATTATACCATCTTTAAAAAGTAGAGAATTCTGAAATGTAACTTTATTACTGAAGATATGTATGTCCGATTAAGTGCTGCATCGAGGAACGTAATAGTGAAAACTCATAAAGAGTTCACTAACGGCATTCCGGAGCATCGTAAGAAGTCAGTAATTGCCTCTTCAGTTGCCGTTTCAGCGTATCCTCTGCTATAGAGATTAAATAGCTCGATCGTTTTAGCAAAGTGTTACACTTGATCCAATGAATCATGTATATAAATTTTCACTTGCAAAGTGAACAGGCCACAGCGTTGTTAAGTCTTCATGAAGAGGTACTCTGGCCTCTTGATCAAGTCTTTCATGGAAAATTGATTTCAACTAACATTCCATTCAGAAGTTATTTGTAATGAGGACATTTAAAAAACGGACCTCAACCATGTTTTTACTTGGAGATAATGGAAATCGAATCGCGGAAAACTTTTATTTACCTGTGAGTCGCTGAAATTGATATCAGTTGTCCTTAATTCCGGACTATGTAAACAATGAAAGAACTACAGGAAAGTGTGTAGTTAATAATTAAAAGCCACAGCGAACAAATTCGAATCCTTTTGCAAATAGGTTGATAACATCACCTTAAGCTCTCAAAGGTAATAAAGAGAACTCGAGAAAAACGACTTCCTTAAACATTTGATAAAAGTAAAGTACGTACTTTAATAGTACTTATTCTCAAGACAACACATTAAAAACTAAATTTGATTATATGTATATCTATCCGTTATTACAAAATGCAACAAAATGCTCTTCATTATTAGATAATATTAAATTTTTCTACAAAACTAATACCTGTAGCAGGTAATAGTAATTAGGAGAGAAAAAATATATATGTACCTTTGTTAGTTTAATAACCATATGCAACACGTGCTATAGTTGATCGGATATCGGTTATGTACTTATAAACGTATACATATGCTGTTTTTTCTTCGATCCAAAACAGCTGTTGGGGTGACATCTACAATACAAACACATTTCACCAGCATACGCACAAGGATACTAATAAAAGGTACAAATAATTTCTTTCAGTTATGCAGGGTGTTTGTTCGAAAAAAAAGGATTCAATAATTATTGGGTTTCCGATGAATAAATATCTGCTTTGAGTGTCACCTTTAACAAAGAATTTAAAATGTTTTAAAAAGTATTAACAATATGCTTATGTTAAAACTACACACCAACACACTTACATGGTATGTAATACATACATACAATTCTAAATAAACACAAACATAGTATGCAACATTTTTGCAAATTATCTCAATTAACATTAGTCCACGTATACGTATGTATCAATCACAGATTATCCAGAATTTACATAACCGATCACTCGGTCACATAACCAAAAATAACTGTAAAAGACCACATACAGTTTTTACCACAAAACTTTGACAGTGTATGGTTTTAACATCAAATCAAATTAAATTACTTAAATATAAACACAAATCATTTACATTTTCAATGTTGTGCATTTTTTGCAAATAAACATAAAACTGTGTTAAAGTCGACAAACATTATAAATAAAATAATTTTTTTTAATGCACATGTCATCAAAAAATTTCCAAAGACCTAAAGAAAGACTGTAAATTTAAGGTATTTTCAGTTTTATTTCCTCTACTTGAGTCTTTTTTTTTTTTTTGTTTAGCTCCGTTGTCTTCTTTATATTGATGTCTGATGAGTTAGTTGTGTTTGAGTTGTTTGTTGTCTGATTGTATGTATTCTGAAACGTAACCACTAGCTGAGGAATAACATATGCCAACCAGGAGTAGTGCTATTGTCCGCTTTAGGGAAGTTATTTAAATACAAAAGTAGCAGCAACAACTATAAGAATTAACAAAAGAAGTATACCAACAACATGGCAAATAATTGTAATAAAACTGACACAACAATTAAGACTATTAACTGAAATAAATTTTCATGTAGGTGTGTTTATCTTTTTTTGTGTGAGTGCTCATTTGCAGAGCCTTAAAATGATGAGTTCTTTGACGACGCGTTCAAGTGTAATAAATACAAATTTACTGTGTATTGCGATAAACATTACCTTAAATCTATGTATCTGGAGGTATTGCTAGACATACGTGCCCTTGAATCCTATATTAATAGTATTTCTCTGAAATCGGATTCTAGAAAAAGTAACACCCCGATTCTAATCATTAGACGTATGTATTATATTCTTAGAATCAGATTACATATTATCAAAAGACAAGTAAGCTGCCGATCCACAGAGGGTAAAAGAAATATACACGCCTGGTACCAAATTGACACCTAACTGTTTATAATTTTTCAATACCACCCTTGTCAAAGTATATACATACGTACGACAACACTATGTAATGTTGACAACATTGCAACAATTCGTAGTCTAAATCTAAATTTTATACACATCCGTTGTCTAAATGTTAACAAACGCGGTAAGCTCACTATTGACAAACAATCCGTTGCCAATAGTTAGCTTACCACGTTTGTTAACATTTAGACAACGGATGTGTATAAAATTTAGATTTCGACGAATTGTTGGTATGTATATACTTTGACAACGGATATTATTGAAAAATTATAAACTCTTTGGTGTCAATTTGTTACCAGGCGTGTATATTTCATTTTCCCTCTGTGTACTTTCCCTTGAGGACGATGTGATTTAAGTCTACACTAACGGTTTAAAATTTGTTATAGTCAGGATGAGCTTGATCTCATAGTCTTATTTCAGGCTGAAATTTACGCTACCGACTCGGACTTCAGAAACATCTGAGATTAAAATATCGAGACTTCCATTTATTAACTTATACATACACAATTTTGCATCACTTAAGACTATCGCCTTGAACTTTATAAGGTCAAAATGTATTCTCAATTACATTCACTCCCTGTCCCAATTTAGATGACATTCTTTCCAATAGATTTAGGTTAGAGGACATAATGGCATACGGGGGAATAAATATGCAAATAAATGGCCAATTAATGGATCCTTAGATGAAACAATTT